CCCCTGTTGGCGCCGCCGTCGTGTCGCCGCTCTCCCAGTCGTCGTCCGCGTCCGGCCGCCTCCAGTCGCGGCTGTCGGCTCGGCCGCCAGATGGAGCCGCGCGGGCGTGGTTATGGTCCTCCGTGCGATAGTCATGGTCGCCCCTCCTGACGTCCATGCGCTTGTCCCAGCCGGAGTCCGGCGCACTTCTACTCGCGTTGGACGCTCTGCCGCCGGCGTCAGGCGCATTTCTACTCGAGTTGGACGGCCAGCTGTTGGCGTCAGGCGCGTTTCTACTCGAGTTGGACGGCCAGCTACCGGCGTCAGGCGCGTTTCTACTCGAGTTGGATGGCCTCCCGCCGGACTCTCCCTGCCAGGGACCGGACGAGATGACCTGGGGCTTCGTCGGGGGTCGCTCCGCAGGCTGCTGCTGCTGCTGTGGCGCCGCCGGCGCTTGAGTCTTCTCGCGGTAGCGCTCGCTGACGCTGCCGCCGCGCGCGTCCGTCATCTCGACAACGTATCCATCGCGCGAGCGTTCCACGAAGCGCGCCGTCACCACCTCGTCCGCGATCATCTCCGCGAGCTCGTCGCGCCGCCCCGTCATCCCGGCGGTGCCGCGCAGGCTGCAGCGCACCGCCTGCGCCGGCAGCGACAGCAGCTCCGCCGGCAGGCGCAGCAACGCGCCGGCGCGCATGCGCTCCACGTTGCCGTAGTCGACGAAGCAGACGTCGGCATCGCCGGACGGCGTCGCCGCAACGACGCGGCAGCGGTACCACATGTCGTCGGCGGAGTAGCGCGCGGCGCAGGTCGCGTTCGGAGGCGGGCGGCCCGCGATGGCGTCCCCGGGTTTCGCGGCGTCGCCGTACGCCTGCAGACGCCGCATCGTCGCCTGCAGGTCGTCGGACGACCGCAGCAGCTGGACGTAGATCTCCTCCGGGCCGTTCAGGTGCACGACGGCGACCTCCTCGTTGGTGCCCTCTCGGACCGCGACGGCCGTGAACGACGCGGTGGCAGGGGGCGCCGACGAGCCGAGCGAGTCCTTGTCGGTGAGCTCGACCGTGCACGTGGCGTCGTTGGCGTTGCCGCGGGCGACGACGCGCACCTCGATCGTGCTGTCCTGCAGCAGCGCTCGCAGCTCGGCCCCGGCGAGGCCCTGAGGCGGCGACGCCAGCTCGCACTCGATCGCGTGCTGCGGGAACGAGCGAAACTCGCGCGCGATGTGCCGCACGAGCCGCGGCGGACGTCGCTCCGCGTTGCCGTAGTCGACGAATCGCACGTGCGCCTCCCCGCCGCCGTCCGACGGCAGCACGCGCCCGCGGTACCACCCGTCGTCGAGCGAGAATCGGACGACGCAGAAGTCTCCGACGTGCGCGCCACCGTCCTCGAACAGCCCCGGCTCGCCGCCGCGCTCGTAGTGAGCGTACAGCCGCTCCTGGAACTCCTCGAGCCCCTCGCTCGGCAGCTTCGTCAGCTGTCCGTGGAAGCGCGCCGGACCCTCGACCGCCGTCACGTACACGCTCTCCACCTCCGCGAGTGGCGGCAGTGGGATCCCCTCCTCCGGCTCGGGCGTCGTCGCCGCCGCCGCGCCGAGCTCGCGGTTGAGGCACGCGCCGGTGGCCGGGTCGCGCAGCGAGACGACAACCGCGTCTCGCCCGACCTCGACGACCTCCATCGCGAGCGGGGTCGCCGCGTCGACGTGCGGGTCGGCGACGCGCGAGACGTCCGCGCCGCGGCGCACGCCGGCGAGCTCGCAGCGCACGGCCTGCCGCGGCAGCGCTGCGAACTCCCGCCGCAGCGACTTGAGGCTCTCGGCCTCGACCGCCTCGCTGTTTCCGTAGTCGACGAAGCTCACCACGACGTCGGGGGGCGCCACCGAGCACAGCTCGGCGCGGTACCACTTCTGGTCTTCGGAGAACCGCGCGGCGCAGGGGGTGCCGGGCGCGGCGTCGCGCGCGAGCTCCAGCTCCTTGAAGGAGAGGCTGTTGTAGACGTGCGCAAGGCGCGACATGAGCGAGTCCAGCGCGCCGCTCTCGTCGCTCAGCTGCACGTAGAACTCCGACGGGCTCACAGCGTACTCGACGACGACGTCCGCTCGGCCCGGACGCACGCGCTGCGGCGGGTACTTCCCCGCGGCGCCCCCTGTTGGCGCCGCCGTCGNGAGAGAGAGAGAAAGAGAGAGAGAAGAGGAGAGAGATGGAGACAGAGGTAGTGGTGATGGATTGGCATTGCCGAATATTGCGACAGCCACGACAAATTCATCAGCGCCAAATCAGATTGGTGAGCACAGTAAATGCCGGCCCGGGCGCCCGAGCTATACACACGTAGAGAGCGCTGGCTCGCCCTACACATACACACGTAGAGAGTGCTGGCTCGCCCTACACATACACAGATCGGGTAGTATGTGTGTGTGTGTGTGTGTGCGTGTGTGTGTGTGTGTGTGTGTGTGTGTGTGTGTGTGTGTGTGTGTGTGTGTGTGAGAGAGAGAGGAAGGAGAGAGAGAGAG